TTGGGTTTACTTTTTATCTCTCATCTGTGAAATGCTTCTTGTGCTGAAAGCCATAGAGGTGTTTTCAGGCACAACCCGGGTTTATATCTATTCCACATTCTAAATATGGCATGTCTAACAACCTTAGCTTTATTGAACCATAAATATTCATGCCACTTGAATCTCAAATGATATCCTTCTGTTCCTCAAGTCTTCTGTTTCTCAATAACGCCCACACTTTCATGCAAACTAAGCAGCAGGATGCAAAATACACTTTAAATCAGGTAGATCCAATCCTCCTTTTTCTTTTAAATCTTGTAAAGCCTTATATTTATTTAACTTTGTATTTGTGATTTTATTCTCCTGCCACACAAATTTAGATATGCCTTTTGCCATTGTTTAAATAGTCCATCATTTGTCCAACAGGTATTGTCTGAAGCAAAAGTAACATTCTAGGTAAGATATTTATCTCAATCATAGAAATTCTCTCCAGCAATGACTTTTGTCCCATCTTGACATATCTTTTAAACTTCATTTCATACCTTAACCTAATTATTTTGAAATAGCATACAGTTTGTATATTTTCATAGTAATATCATAATATTTTACACTTTTTTAATTTTAAAATTTTTTTGTCCAGTTCTGTTTGATCTCATATTTTCGTATTTTTGTTAATCTTCTTTATTAATCTTAAAACTTGGTAATGCACAAAACTCTTTTAATTTACTCCTTAATATTTAAATTCCTTTAAAAGGGTCTTCCAAAACCAACACCAAGTTATTTGCGAAAACTCTTTAACTTACAAGTCTTCAATGGAAAGTACTTGTGAATTACTACCCAAACTTCATGTTGAATGAAATGACTAGCAGGCACGTTTGCTTATTTGATGTACTGTAATTGTAAGATTCCAGCTGTTACTTGAAGTGGTTGACTAGAGTTTTTCCTGCTAGCAGACTGAGCCTCGAGAAAGTATACTTCCCTGTTGTTTTATGTGCCCAACCTCAGCACTTAATATGTGTTCATGTTTAAGTAAACCAGATTGTGATTTGGCACTGCAGGGTGGCAAACTTCTTCAATGGATTAGTCACAAGTAGTTGCCCTCTTGGCTTGTTTTCAGCCGTAAAACTTGTAAGGAAGAAATATTCCCCCTGATGTCTACAGGAACAAGACATGGGATAAAATAAAGATAATACCAGCGGTTTCCAGTTACACAAGTTAAAATATAATGATTTGTGGTGGCGTGGGTTAAAAAACCATCTGAGATGAACATGTTTTCTAGGTTGGAAATTATTGTCATAGATCAAACTTAAATTGTTTTGCATCAATCAAATGTGATCCATCCTATGCATATATTGATAGGTCATAGAGCTTTAGATGGATGCAGCTAAAGTGCATTCTGGCACATTGATTTAGTGGATTCTGAAGCCTGTTTTGGCTAATCTATGATGGTGACTAATACAACTTTGTGGCTGAGCTGATTCAGCTATCTTGAATCATTTAATTTTTATTGCGTGTTATGACTATTGGTTAATCTGTCTCCATGTCAGCATTGATGGGCATTCAAAAGGCAGGTATATTAGTCAAAAAAATTGACATGTAGCAATCGTCTATGTGATGATAACATGACAGTTGAGGGATTCAAAATTTCCCAAAGTTTGAGTGGCAGTGGGATGATCAGAAATACTAGTTTTGTCAGTCTGCCACAAGCTTGGTTACTCAAGACTAAAGAACAAATAACTCACGAAGAGGCGAATATATTTAATTCCAGATTTGAAAAAAAGAGAGAGAAGAATGGGCTGAAGCAGTATAGGATGCTTCTAGTGAGTAGGAAACCTATAACATAGAAGGCAAAGAAATAAGATGATTTTTAATGTTTGGTATAGTGGTTAGGTACTAGGTTAGAAAGTGGCAGACCAAGAGTTAAAGTCCTGCCTTAGCCATGAAAGCCAGCTGGGTGACTTTGGACCAATCATTTTCTCACAGCCCAAGTTATCTCATACTGTTGTTGTTATGTGAAAATAGGAGGAGGAAGATCTGTTGGATATGTTCACCACCTTGAGTTATTTGAAAAAATAATAAAGCTGGAATGTTTTCTGCTGCAGTAGCTTTTGTTGTGAAGTTATGAGTGTTGAAATATAGTTAAAATTATGATTAGAACTGATGACTTTAAAACAGAGTCAACTATATTGTAAAAAAGGGGAAAAATGCCCAGAATGGAACTATTTGACCATAGATTAATGACACACGTGTCATTTCCTTCCCCAACATTTGGTGAAAACATTGGAATCAAGTAACTTAATTTTTAAATAAATCAATAAAACCTGGAGGATTCCTCCCATTCCATCTGTTTTTCTGTTTCTGTTGTGTTATTGCTATTATTACTCTTCAAAAAAGGGGAAACTGGAAAAATATTAACAGTAGAACAGCTTTATCATATTTTCAAAACATAAAATAAATTTAATTCTTCATGTACAAAAGCCTGTATCCAGTCACATTGCTTTAATATTCATGCTTTTTTTTTTTGCCTAAATTGGCAAGATGTTTAAAAAACAAATCAGTGTATATCAAAATATCAATACACAAACATTCTTGATTTGGTCAGGCATCCGTCAATTACTCATAGAAATGCCTATAACTTTAAATACCTTTCCTATCTTTTTGGCTTCTTATATTTCTCACTTATTTTTCTTAAATCCTGTATCTATTAACAACTTAAAAGTGATATCCAAGAAGTTATGACAACATGGGATGTTATTCCATATTTTCATTTGATTGTTTAAGCTCCTGTGTGGAGATGGGACAGAGTTTCAGAAGGACAACCATCATTGCAGCCCTCCACCAATCTGGGCAGAGTGGCTAGACGGAAGTTTCTCCTCAGTGCAAAACACATGAAAGCCCACTTGGAGTGTGCAAAAAGCAAAAAAGCACCTGAAAGACTGTGAGGAACAAACTCTAAGTGGGGTTTCTTGTGTTTTGCATTGAGGAGAGGCTTTCATCTAGCCACTCTGCCATAAAGCCCAGAGTGGTGGAGGGCTGCAGTGATGGTTGTCCTTCTGAAACTCTGTCCCATCTCCACACAGAATCTCTGAGGTTCAGTCAGAGTGACCATTGGGTTCTTGGTCACCTCTCTTATTAAGGCCCCCGATTGCTCAGTTTGACAGGGTGAACAACTATTGGAAGAGTCCTGGTTGTGCCAAACTTCTATTTGAGAATTATGAACAACAGGTCGACTCATTTAAGGTGTAGAAACATGTCAGCAATTATCAAGGGAAATGGGAGGCACCAGAGCTAAATTTCACGTGTTGTTGCAAAGGGTCTGAATGCTTATGCCAATGTAATATTTCAAGTTTTTTAAAATAAATTTTACAGACATTTCTAATATTCTGTTTTCACTTTGTCATTATGGGGTACTGAATGTAGATTAATGAAGAAAAAAAATATTTCAACAACTGTAGAATCAGGCTGCAGCGTAACAAAATTGACAAAAGTGAAGGGGGTCTGAATACTTTCTGAATGTACTCTACTACATCTAGAATCCTGTTAATGCATAGTACTAGAGATTAGAACCATTAATTTGGATGCAGGAAACATTTTAAATTTACATACTTCAGCTTGTTGCACCAATTAATTTGTAAAATAATACTTCAGCTTGTTGCACCAGTTATTTTGTAAAAAAAATACAGTTATGTTCTTTTGGCACAACCAGAACTAGCTGAAAATCTAAAAATCTAAAAACTGGCACCTCTTTTCTGGGGAAGAGTTAGCGAAACATCCAGCCTTATGGTGAGGTCACAGATATGAATCAATCTTGTGTGTAGGTGGATGATTTGGAGAAAGCTCAGTATGAAATATCTAAAGAGATACGGCCCATATAATAACCTGCAATTTGAAGGTCAATTGTGATTGGCATTTGGAGATGAGCAGGTAAATAGGCATTGATATACATCAATAATGTCATCTGCCTAGAGACTGAATCCAGACCTTGGCTTTTTGATTATCATACCAAGTTTGAGTTTGATTTATTGAGGTGTATTAAAAGTTGAGATGCCAAGAAAGTAAGTTGAATTGGGGCATCACTTAAATCAGCGAGACTAGTTAGCTGTGACTATAAGGGTCTATAAGACTATTAGATTTTTAACATGCAACACAAATATAGAGTTAAACCTTTGTGCATTTTCATTTAGAAAGAAGCAACGAACTTCTAGATGATACTGTTGTCTCATGCATATTATAACAAACTATTGTTTTTCTTTTGGTAGCGGGTATTTTAGGAAACGTAGTGGTCTTTGACTGTCTCTAATAATTCTGATTGAGTTAACACCATTACTACTATCATGTTTCCCTGAAAATAAGATCCTTGTCTTATATTTTTTTGAACCTTGAAATAAGTGCTTGGCCTTATTGTTATGCGCTCAAAAGCCCAATTGGGCTTATTATAAGGAGGTTGTCTTATTTTGGGGGAAACAGGGTATTAACACAAAGCATATGGCACTATTATTAGAGAATATAAACATTTGTCAATACAACAGGAGAATAAGCAAGTATTTCTGGAAACAAAGACTCCTTTCAAATGAAAATGAACTACCCATTTGTGTTAACATAAAGAGTGTTTTATAGTAATTCAATACCAATATGTTTATTATGACTTAAGCTTTCTTGAGTTCAGTTCCTTAGATACATCCAATGAAATGGATTCTTGTCCTTAAAAGCTAATGTAATAATAATTTGGTAATCTTTAAGATGCTATGAAAAATTAAACGTATTAATTAGAAACTGAACTGTTACCTCCCTGGGATGCTTTAAAGTCAACTCACTCATCCAAATAGTATCTTCCAGTTCCATTATTGTGTTTACTAGAAGTCATAAAGTCAAGTTTCAAAGCTCTGTAAAAGCTTAAGCTTGTCTTCACAGAGTAGCAATAAAAATTATATATTAATTTTGAATTCAAACTATATTTCAATATTTCTTGTACTTACATTCAGACTCCTAACTTGCTTCCCCACTTCTTTGTGAACCCTCAGAAACACTAATGGATACTCGGACAGCCACAGCTGAACTTGGTTGGACAGCAAACCCACCATCAGGGGTAAGTAGATGTCAGCTACTTAAATGGTTTGTAAAGGGGATGGTGTATCTTGCATAAATTCAAATAAGTAAGACTGGTCAAATTTTCAGGTTTGGTTAGGCTTGCCTTTCCAGTCACATTCCCTTCTAGTTTTGCTCCTATTGGTACTCAGAATTTTTAAAAAGTCTGCATGATATTTTTTACCTAAATATATGCATTTTAAAGATGCCATTATAAGATGCACACTTTACAATATGCATGCAGATTTATATAAAATTGTGCATTTGTATGTCTATTTCCAATAGAGATTTTCTTAGACTGACAAATGTATGGCATAGTGTGATCGAATGTGTAATAGGCATTAGGAACACAAAGGGAACAGTAAGACACTTAAAGGAGAAAACAGGACTGTTAAGAAGAGATTCTTAAGTCCAAGGGAGGGACGAAGCATGAGAAAGAAACCCAGAGTAACTCTGTCTTAATTATACTAGGTTTTAGTTGTATGGGACAATTATTTGAGTAGGCTTTCAAAATTCTCCTACATTATCCTACTAGCAGTAAAGATCTTTCAAAAAAATCTAACAGGTTTTATTTCCTGAGATTGCCAGCTTCACAAAGTTTTTCATGAATCTTGAAATCTTTTATCCTACCTCATGAAAGAAGGGTCAGATCCTGCATTCTGAATGTGGATTTGGATCTTTTGAGGTTCCTTGTTGTTGGCAGGGTAAGAGGCAGTGGTGTTATTGAAGCATAGGTAACAGATCACACAGATCAGGGGTCCCCAACGTCTGGGCCATGACCCACTAGTAGGCCATGAGCTGTTTGCAACCAGGCTGGGGAAACAGAGGATTCCATTTGTGTGAATGGCAGGTGGACGTGCCTGCCACTCGCGCAAATGGAGCTGTGCATGCCCGCTTCCTGTCTGCTCACGTGGTGGGACCATTCCCTCTTCCCCCCACCTGTCTGCAAAGCCAGAAAAGGTGGGGAACTCTGACATAGACCACAAGTTTACATAATACTACAGTGCATTTAACTCAGGGTTTACCTCAGTTAGGAGTACCACAGGTGGCTGAGTAGAGTTAAACTTCCTGAAAACCTGTCTGAGAAATTAAGGAAAAGCAGGAGCCAAGACTATTGAATATTTTCTTATTCTGTGTGAATTATTCATGGTGGGAAGGTTAGGAGTTCCCTACAGATTTGACCAAGGTGACATTATGTTCTTAGACTTTTGAAAAGAAAAGCAGGCAGATGGGCATTTCTACTGACTGAAAGCAAAGGTGGCATACTAGAAAGCTATCAAGATTTTATGCAGAAGTTCAAACCTGTCTTTGATAATTCTATCAGGAGAGCAGATGCTAATTGGGACATTTCTGACAAAGAGGATGCAGAGAATGTGAGTACATAGCAGATTTTTTTGTTATAACGCAGGGATGTCCATTAGAATGGTTTTGTCCTTATCATTCATTTTTGGGAAGGCCTTTCTGATGAACTGGATGAGTTGGAAGAGATATTTCCACATTGTGTAGTGATTGATGGTAAGACTAGAGGAGAAAATAAGAGAAAGAAATAGTTTCAGAGCCTTTCTTCACCCTTTCCCTCTTTTAGTTATCTCCTTGGATTCTAATGGCATGGAGCGTATGTACAGTAGATAGGGATGATGAAGAGTTCCCTGTCTACAGTGGAAAAAAACAATGAATAGGACATCTTAGATTGTATGCTTACTGTAGATCCCTTGATCATTTATTGGAGAGTTGCCCTGCTAAACTTTCTTCCTTCGAATTACCTGGAAAACATTGCATTTGTGGAGATTTAGTAATAATAAATTACTGTATTATGGACATTAACCAGCAAAAGAAATTTAGTGCATCTTATGAATAAATGCCCAAATTGCTCTAAAGACTTCATGGACCTCCTTCTAAAGAGCTTTTCAGGAGGGACCTTGGATAATTAAGAAGAGTTCTGACATATGAAACCAGGCAATTGTTGTTTATAATCCTAATTAATATCTGTTCACACACACACACACACACACACACACACACACACACAGAGAGAGAGAGAGAGAGAGACAGACAGACAGACAGACAGACAGACAGACACACACACACACACACACATACAGACACACTCACACGGACTTGGAACTCCAACTCCATAATTTCTTTCGGATTCTGGAAAACTGTTAAACTGAGCTATTATGCAGCAATTGTGTTGCACAATCAATCACTGGAAAAGCCTACTCAAATGGAAGTGATCAATGGCAAATGCCTCAGATCAGGTCCCCAACTCATTTGCAGCTGAGAAGAAGTGATCACAAATAATTATTGCAACTGTATTTGCAAATAATTATACAACTGCTACAAATATATGTCCCAATATATTCTTGGTCATAGACTGGTTGCAAATACCTAATCCTGGCATCCATTATTTCTTTCCTCTCAAACAAATAAAATAAAACAATAACAATAACAAATAAAAAGGTCAACAATTTTGGTTGCAGGCATTAGATTTTCTTCTTGTCTTTCTCTCCCGCTACACTGCCTCCATTTCCTTCTTTGCCAGAAAAGTATGTAGAGTTTGGCAATGCTTCAAGGGAAAACGAAACTGCAGCCTCTGCTCTGCATTAGGTATGTAATTATGCTATCAACTTGCTACCTAGATCCTGAATCTCAGAACTAAATGGCAATATACATATCTATTCAAGAATTATCAGCTTTGAAGTAATTTCTGAACAAAAAATCAGAAGAAAGGATTTATTTAACCTCCTTTTTCTTACCATTCCTCTGAGTAAAAAAAGAAAGATAATTTTTCTTTGATTATAGACTTCTCATTTCGAACTATTAGAGGTCACTATGTATTGCCTCTTATTTTGGATCTGCTGGACTACCTTCAGAAATCACACATTTTTACTAAACGGGTTTGAGAGAAGCTTGCAATTTAATTTAGATGTAGAATGGCCATTAATATTTAACAGCCTTTTGACATTTGTTATGGCATGGAGAGCCATAAGGAAGAGTCTCAGAATAACTTTCTTACCCACACTAGGTATAAATTGTGCAGGAGAATTACTTTGGAAGGCTTTCAAGATTCTATATAATAGCTAGCCTACTAGCAATAAAGATCGTTCCAGAAATCCAAGTGGTTCTTTTTTCTTGAGTTTGCCAATTCACGGGGCTTAATACGTAGTTGAGAACAGTGTGGATTTGCACACAGAATATTCTTATTTTAGAAGTCTTGGCAAGTTTTGGAAAGTGCAAAATGGGTGAAATTTATAATAAAATGAGATCTGAACAAGCTTTATCTTTACTTCTGTTAAATATGGCATATATTTGTAGAGGGGCAGCGGAAGAAATTTGCTTCCTATCTCATTATAATCTTAACTAGTCTTCATTTTTGATCACTTCTCAGATAATGGAAAACCCAACATATTTAATTATATGCAGATGGAATTGTGCACTCTTTCTCTACATCTAAATTGTGAAAGGGAATTCTTGTCACTTTCTCTTGTTCCCTTCCAAAGCATTTTCCATTTTTAAAAAGCAATTTTATGATTTAGGGCTTGACTTCCAATTTTTCCCCCTTGAACCCAGGACTGATTATAAACTAAAATATTCCAAGTAGCAGATAGGATGTAATCCCAAATGTGGATTCAATCCTTCTCTCTACATTTTTTCATGTTGGAAAAAATAGATGTAGAATAAATTCGTATTTTCTGTGGATTTCAAGACAATAATAACTACAACGGCAACTAATGGGCAGCCATTTTGGTGTAGTGATTCAAAACACTGGCTTAAAAACTGTGCGTTCCAGTCCTGCTTTAGCCATGAAGCCAACTATGTGACTTCACTCTTTCTTAGCCCTGTGTCAGACAATGGAGTACCAAATGCATCACGAATGCTCACAAGCACTTGGGCAATAGTGATCTTCCAATTTTGTTTCTGAAATGTTGATATTAAGTTATTCAGAACATAGAAGTGGAGATGGAATCACCGATAGTCTGATCTCCCTGTTTTAAAATGATCTAAATTTGTGATTATCATCCCACACAATGGCAGTAAATTCTTTTATTCAGTAATATATTTTGTGTTCAGCTATAAACAATTGTGAAGCATGAAACCAGACATCAGGATTTGGAAAAAGAACCGACAAGGACTTTACAAGAGAAACGTTATGTTGGATGCATGCAATATGATACCATACATAGAATTGTCTTTGTAGGAATGTCTTAGGTCAGCCTACATAATTTAGTCCCTTCCAGATGTATTAGAGTGTACATCCACAAATCCAGGACAGGAGCCATTTTTCAGCACATCTAGAGAGCACAAGGCCAAGGAAGGATGTTTTTGATGTTACATTAGGTCCAGTAAAATCAAAACCATCTCAATCCCGTTATGAAAAGTAAATCACCTTGTGTCAGGGCTTCTATAATCAGAAAATACCCCTCTACCTTTTTTGTGCATGTATGCATATGCATACAGTCTAGCCTGTATGTATATGGGACTGCGTATAAAAGGAGGGAAATGATATGCTATTTGAACTTTTATGATTAAGATGCAATAAACACCAGACTTTTCTTAATTGTTTCCTCTCACCATGCATGATTATTTATTTATTTATTTATTTATTTATTTATTTATTTATTTATTTATTTTTATTTCTATACCGCCCTTCTCCTGCAGGACTCAGGGCGGTGCACAGCCAAAATAAAACACTGTATACAAAATTTAAAAACAATTTAAAAACAATTAAATAACACTACAGTTCATATGCAGAAATTTATCTAGTATACAAATTGCTATATAAGAAGTGACCCTAATGGCAGTGGACCTATTCTGAAATAGGTCTATCAAGGTATACTAGGACTTCCTGCCATGCTGCTATGTATAGGATTGCACTTTTGCTCTGTTCATGCTTCCAACTACTTTCATTTTCCATCTCCAGAATTAACAGATGTTTATGGACATTCTCAGTCATCCAGGTCATGGTTGTCCCAAAGGTGATTTTTTCAAAAGGCAACTTGC